TTGCCGTGCTTTCTCCCTTCCCGATGTTCGATCACGAAGTCGAATTGAGATAATCTCTCAATCCATCTAGCCATTTGATCAGTTGGTTCGCGAAATGACATTATCCATCTAAGAGATGAGTGATCAGTCCGGATCAAGAATTTTCTGCCAAACAGAAAATGACGGAAGTGGCAAACGAATGAGACAACTGCTAATAGTTCTCGACGTGTAGTGCAGTAACGACGTTGTGTCTTAGTAAGAGATCGACTAGCGAATGCGACTGGTCTCTCCAATTCGCACTGGGCTGACTCATCCCACTGTAGTTGGGACAAAACAGCACCGACGCCTGTAGCTGACGCATCAGTATCTAATATGAACATACCCTCATCATTTGGATATGCCATGCAATTATCACTCGTGATCGCTAGTTTCAGCTCATCGAAGGCAGATTGACATTCACTGTCCCACTCAAATGTGCGAGATTTTTCCATGAGGCGAGTCAAGGGTGAAGCGATAGATGAGAATCCACGGATAAATCTCCTGTAGTAAGAGCAAAGACCGATAAAAGATCTAACATCGGTTACCGTCTTGGGTGTAGGCCATTGGTGAATCCTATCTATCTTGTCGGGGTCGGGCTTGATGCCTTTTGCGCTCACTACATGCCCCAGATAGCATACTTCCGACTTCACTAGGTTGCATTTGCTTGGTTTTAGTTTTAGCCCTGCTTGGCCAAGACGAGAGAGTACCTCATTGAGCCTCTCGAGATGCTCTTCAAAGGTGGAACCGAGAACGATGATATCGTCGAGATAAAGGATTAAGGTTTTCCATTGCAAACCTTTCATGAGAAGCTCCATACCCCGCTCGAACGTGCTCGGGGCATTGCATAATCCAAACGGCATCGTGATGTACTCGTAATGTCCGCTTCTAGTGCTAAATGCCGTCTTCTGCTGGTCCTCCTCCTTTAGTTCTATTTGCCAGTATCCGGATTGTAAATCTAAAGTGCTAAAGATTTTAGCACCTCCTATGCAATCAAGACAGTCCTCTATACGAGGAAGTGGATAAGCATCTTTCGTCGTCACTTCATTTAATTTGCGATAATCTACGCATGGCCTTGTTGATCCATCTCGTTTCCTTACATACACCAGCGGGCTCGACCAGGCGCTCGTGGATTCGCGGATAACCCCTGATCGCAACTGTGTCTGAATTATCTCCTCCTCTTCTTCCACAAAAGCTCGAGGCGGGCGTCTTGGCCTCTGCTTAATGGGTGAGGCATTACCTGTGTCGATTGCATGCTTAACCAATGATGTTCGTCCTAAGTCATTTGGAGAAACTGCAAATGTCGATTTATGCTTATCGAGTAGCTCAGCTAATTTGTCCCTCTCCTGTGTCGATGACAACTCTCCGCAGCTCCGATTATACAACGACTTTAAGTCTTCAGACCAATCCTCAAACCTAGGTTTCCCTGATGCAGAGCTACCTTTTACAACATTAATATTTCGAGGAAGAGGCTTAGCTCCGTCACTACCTTCATGGTACACTTTGTCTATAAGCTGTAGGTTTGCGAGCTTGGTTCCGGCATGCACATGAATATCCACCCCAAGTGTGTTGGCTACGCGTACAGGCAAATCGATATCATTCCTATTGATATCGATCACGCAGCTGGCTACATGGATTGGTTGTAATGTTTCTCCGCTATTCATGGGTTCAATCAATCCGTATGGAAGATCGCCTTTTAGTTTAGTGACATTAGCACTGCCGGCGATGATGAATTCAGAGTTAGCAGGGATAATGACGTCACGCTTGGCTATCACATTACAGCTCAAGTCAGAAATAATTTCGCATTGAAACAAGCGATCATTCAAACGAAGCCCACGTCTAGGTTCAAGAATAAAGTTAAAGTGGTGCATGAAGTCAAATCCGAGAAGGCCCTCGTCACTTATATCAGCCACGAAGACATTCCACTTGAATGTCATGTCCTCAAGTGTGATGTCGAGATCAATAGTCCCATAGATATGTAGTATTTCATCATTCGCTGCTTGAAGTTGAATGTCCTCTGTCGGCTCGTTAAGATGTTTACGCAAATCTATGTCTATACCTTCGTAAACTTTAGAGGAAATAACAGTCACTGCTGCGCCCGAGTCGACCAAAAATTTAGCGTTTGCACCATGAACATTTGCTCCAATAAAAGCCGAAAGCCCTGTACTTTTGACGAGTTTAATTATTCTCGATGCATTACTCACTGTAGTTTTAAGGGCCGAAACCTGGTCGATTGGATCGGCCCCAGCTAGTTTCCCGCCTCGACATTATTTACGGATGGTAAGGGGTTGGCCTGTCGTTGATGCATAGGCTGGGGATGTTGTACATGTTGTTGATGCTGTGGTGGTGGTGGTGCCTGTGGTACCCACATTTGCTGCTGTGTCTTTGGCTGGGGCTGGGGCGGCACAAACTGTGGAGGTGCCCAGGCTTGTGGGACGAATGGTTGTTGTTGTTGATAGCAGCGGTTGTTTTAACGAGGATTAGGGCAGTTTCTAGCTAAATGCCCCTCCCTATCACACTCGTAACATCTGTTGTGCATGGGTCTACCACCTCGAGGTTGACGTCCTCTGTCATCATTCCCTCGCCTACCTTGCCGTCTATCTCCCGTTGTATTGGCATCTCTCGAATTTCTTTCCGCCTGATCCTTTAAGAGGGATGAGAGTGTGTTCAGTCTTTCGTCAATGGACATAACGCGACGTTCAAAATCAGCAAGCCGGCCTTCGGTAACGCTAACCGATTGCGAGGATGACAGGGCCCTAATCGGCCGGTAGGCATTGGGGCTACTCTCCTCTCGCAGATTGAAATACCGCTCGGCTATCTCACGGGCCTCTTGCAGGGATTTAGGTTCGTGCATTCCCACTGTTAATGTCATGTTTTGGTCTCCGATTCCTCGTAGAAAATGTCTTGTGCTAATGGTTTCTATTGTGTCGACGTCGGCACTCGGATAACCGAAAGTTGTCAGTCTTCTTACGTCGGCGGCATAATCGGCAATAGTCTCCTTCGGTCCAAGACGCCTTGCCTCCAACTGGGAGACGAATGAGGCCGGTGTTTTCCTATTTTCGAATCGCTCATTTAGCGCCGCTACCAGGTTATCGAAGTCCCCTGTGACGTCAGAGGAGAGTTGTTGGAAAGCGAAGTCTGCTGCATTACCTCGCAAGCAAGCCAGTATTCGAAATCGTTTTTCGTTTTTGTTCCATCCACACGCTTCTGCAATGTTCTGGAACGAAAAGATGAAGCTTTCCCACGGGCGTGTTCCATCAAAATGTTCCTGATGGGGTAGCTGAATAGCAGCCCTTGGTTGAGCGGGGCTGCGAATTTGAACCTCCTCTTCCAAAGGTTGTGCATCTGTCTCGCTAGAGTGTTGAATTTGAAGTCGTGCTTCATCAAGCTCCAATTGGAGCTCCCTGATCTCCTGTTCTAAATCCGTTTTTCTACGCCTCCTTGCCATTTCGATTAGCGTGTTGAAGTCCAAAATCCCACCGCTGCCACCAGTGTAACGAAATTTGATTACAAGTGTTTAATTCAGACTGCTCTCGTTCAGTTCTCGCTCAATATCTCTCTCACTCGAGCTCATGCGTGTATGCAATATAAATTCAACAGAAGAAATGGAGTATTCGTGAGTTTCAGTTCCATTCGATGTTTATTACTTCAAATAATGACAACTTGGTATACAGTCAGGTTCAGTGAATTACGAAAAACGGCAGAAAGGAGTACGAGGAGAAGTCTCAAGAAGTCAGTCCGAACTCTCGATTTTAGAATCCCTGGCTTTATATAGGGAGCTGTTTTGTAGCAGCAAGGACACAACCCGACCTCGAGCTAAAGGGCAGAGTCTGTCCTCAAACTGAGGACAAAGTCTGGCCTCCGCTCGGGGTCAGTCGGAGGCCGCACGCGACTGAGTATCTGTCCTTGCCGTTACGTAAGACGAGGACAGATTCTCTAGACGAGCGTGGCCCTGGGCTTACGCAATCGAACTGCAAGAATTACTCGAGGACGAAAAACAACGTCGTAAATCTACCGAAGGACAAGTTTGACTTGCACAGCAAGCAATAATATTGTAGCGAAATAATAATGGACTATGCACATGATACAGGCATATATCTAAATTCGTAACACTATTAATAATCACAACCAGCCGGCCCCTATATTGTTATTATTAATTTCAATGAATTGATAAATTAACGGTCACCGAATTTTGGGAAGTGGAGCTGATTTGGAATGATCCGGTTTAATCGAAATTTCACACATTTTGGGGTTTAAAATTACCTTAAAAGCATTTTTAGGTCTTAAAGGGCACTAGAAATGTCATACATAAGAGCAGTAACCATGCACTTTGAAGGCATTTGCGGTCTTAAAGGTAAAAACCGGTTTTTAGAAACGCCTCCCTCTCAAAAATGAAACGGAAGCTCTTATTACCAGTCATGTGAAAGAATATGTTTTGACTAATACGTGATGATACAAATTTTGCCGGGAAACTACCTACTAATTGATATATTTGGTAAATTATTATATCTATCCGGACCAGATAGATATCGCACGTGTCTATATCTTTCTGTGTATATACAGCACTTTATGTACCTTTACCAAGACTGGGCCAAATTTCTTATCATTTTTGATGATTTCAGACCCTTGCAGTACACACCAATACTTATACGCTAAATGATCAACTTTTTCTGATCCATGCCTCAACGTTTCTTTCATAACTGGTCTTTACCTTTAAACAAGAACTCAACTTTCCCTTTAAACAAATTTAAATAGATTTTTTGATAATAATTGATATTTTGTTACTTATTTAGATAAAACATAATAAGTGAAGCATTTTAAGGAGGAGGAAAAAAAACTTAATGTGATGGACGCTGAAGATACAAAATATAATATTTAAAAATGCACGTGTTACTGGGTAAATAGGTGAACTAAAAGGTTTAAAAGGTAGAAAAAGAGAGTCTAACAAACAAATAATGCGAATTTCCCAAATGAAGACAAATTACCTGACAACTGTCATAGCCGCCTGTTGAATAACCAGCGCATATCTTAGAGGGTATGATGTCATCATAAATTTCCCCGCATGCATCATTCTCAACCGATTTAAGCAAGACCTTGAGAAGATCATTGGAAGCATCTTCTCCTATGGAAAGAAAAAAGGAAAACAAGCAGATGATTATATTAAGATGTGATAGCATAATTGATTTTTAATCGTTTATGAATGCTATTTGTTTTTCAAATGACAATAAATATGACTTAAATTTCTTCTCTTTTCAAACCATTAGTAATGTCAATTACGCATGTTTTCAGGACAAAATGATTATCATAAATAAGCCAGTTTAATTATAAAAAATGTGAACGCAAACAGTAAGAAATAAACTAATGAGCTTTATTGTCGCCCGAGTTTGTAACGTACGGCTGCTTAAACTTTGATATTTACCATCAAACACAATGATTCCCCAGCCAGCAGCGTAACATCGTCTATAGATCTGAGTCTCACTAACGTTGCTTGGTAGACAGATCGGTCGGACGTAGTCATTGATCTCGACTGGTTCTGAAAATCGAATGAGAGTGATGTCGTCGCCGCCCCTCGTCGAAAAGTAGTTGGGGTGGTCGATGATTTGGGCAATGTTCGGTGTAACACTGTAATTACTTTCTGTGTCGATTTTTATGTCGCCGAAAACGATTTCATCGTAGACACCACTGTGAAAGGAAGAGATATGAAAATGGTGCTTTTTGCCTATTTAAGAATGATTTGATAACTTCTTTCACTTAAAAAAAAATACGTTAGATCGAAAGATCATGCAGGCACAAGTCCAGGATTTTTGTAAAAGTGGGGCACAATATTCTTGAAATTTGTTGACAAAAACGAGACAATCAGGATTTCTTTGTAACTGTGGACTATACAAAATATATCAAACAAAAGGTATACCACTAAGGTTTCAAAGAGAGAGAGAGAGAGAGGCACGGGCCGGTCCCCCCATGAGCTTATTAACATGGACGTGGTAGGCTTAATGTCGTTTAAACAATAATAATGATCAGTGGTGTTTCTCCGTGTTCATCTTATATATATATATATATATGTATATGCTAGGAACATTATATCAAATCTTACGTGCAGTGAGCAGCCGTGACGGCCCAGTACTCATTGACGAGTGTGGCCCCACATTGTAGATCGCCCTTTAGTGTCCTTAACGACCCTATCCAAGGGAACTCTCCCATCTCGGCATAAGTGCCGCCAATGATGCGGGGTTGTACCTCCGAATAGCCCGGTCGGGTGCCACACACCATCGTGTCAAGGGGATCTGGGAGTGAGGAGAGTAAGAATTAGACAGTGATACGTGTGCATTTTGTAGATATCTGTTGTCCTCAACCGGAGGGGAAATATTATTATGTATCACTTTATCTTTTTCGATCGTAAAGCCTTTCAAGAAATCAACCTTGTGTGATTTATAGCTTTGTCTATCATCATTTGAAACATGCGAACATTACAATAATATATATCATTATTCGAACATGGTCTTGTTCATAAGACAAGAGGATATTAACATTGCCCTTGAATTCATTTCGTGAAAATCTTTGCTTTCACGTCTTTTTAAAAAGAATTTTAAAATCCTAAAGAACATTGAAGAAAACTAAAGCTTCACCGAATAAATAACCCTGTCTTATAATCATTAATGTCTTCACTATTTATGAATGCATACACTTTCATTTGCCTTTATGAATAAAATACCCTTATGTCTTCTGGAAATTGAATTCGAAAGTTGATAAATACTAGGAATGTGATCACGCATAACCAAATAGATATTTCCACTTTTGAATCAATATATACAGCATCGCGTTTGTACGTTCTGCAATCCCCAAATGAATGAAGAATATTAATACAAGAAAACATGTATGCACCAGAGGTTAGATCATGCACCCCTCCCCCCTCCCATACCGAAAAAAAATTAGAAAAAGGTGCACACATAGTCTATAATTATGACTGTATTAGTAATAACAGAAGTGATAGCGTCAAATTTCATAATCAATTTTTGTGTGTCCTACTAATGTAATAGAAAAGGGGGTTACCCCGCCCCCGATCACACACACAAACATACAGATATCCTAGCAATTACCCCCATTTCGGGCCTCGCAGAGTAGATTGGCGTAGCCGTAGACCGTCGTGCTTCCCGAGCAGGCATTGGACAGCTCCGACAACATGGGACAGTCGTCGATCACCGCTTCGCAGACCGAAGGGCACAGGTTGATCGTCGTACCGTAGTGCGGGCATTCTGGAAAGAGCGCGGCGCAGATGAGCACCAGAGCGGATTCGCCGCAGGAAGGCAAAGCAATGAACTCCAGGTCGGCATACCCCTGAAGGGCATCCGACTCCGTGTGGTAGCGGGCGTTGGGGAACACGGTCGTGGTCCACGCGAGACGGCTGGAGCACACGGATGGGACTGGCTGACATGTAGCTATGGGGAAATAGAAACATTTTTATTAAAATGAAAATGAGGTAGGCTATTTTACTTGTATACTGTTAACTCACTTCAACGTCAAGACAATCATCAGGTCAATGATAGTTTATGAAAATTATTTGTTTTGATCTTTGGTGCACGTTGTTATGTATAGATATACTAAAACAATATATATACTGTGTTTTTATGTTGTTGCTTTAGCATAGTTTAAATGGAACACATGAATCATTTCGTTTGCATTTCCAGCTAGAATAGTTTCCAGTGACTAAGCTATGGAGTTTGTTTCTTGTATGAACTTAATTCACACTGAACAACCCCTTATGAGCATGACATTTTTATTCAATTATTTTTTTAACAAAAGCAAAACAATAAATGAGATGGAAAATTGACTTACGACATTTGTCTTCATCTGAAAAGTCAATGCAGTCTATCTCTCCGTTGCAAACAAGACTATTGGACCGGCACTGACCATTCATACATTTTAACTCGTCAATGTTACATGAACCTGTAATAGAGAAAGTTAGACAGAGAGAGAGAGATTTAGACAGAGAGAAAAAGAGACAGACACAAAGAGAGAGAGAGAGAGAGTACATAATCAGGTTGAGAAGTAGACGAATATAATTATATACAAGGGAGAGTGCAAATATAAAGAAGTTTTCTAAAGAACATGCGACATTTCTTTTACTCGTCAGGAAAAATGTGAACCTTGTTAAATCAAATTGATGAGCACATTCCTTTGGGGTCGCCCTCACCCCCTCATATTTACGACGAATAAGCTCACTGGTTAAATGTTCATTTTGTTGTTGTCAACTATTAGTCGAATCCCAGGATTTTCCCATCAGCTGAAATCTATTTGAAGGCTTGAAGAAACATTTGCTGATCCAATTAAAAGTTCTAACGGCCGTTTACACACTAAGCATTTCGATTAAGTTATCACCACCGCTGATCAAGCTTAACACGGCAATAAGTGCATGCGCTAGTAATTCAACGCAATGTTTGTACTATGTTGATTTGCATTCACTTTTTTGTACAGCCTACCTGCACAAGACACGTCAAAGGGCTGCACCAGTCGCTGATTCAGTCCTACGTCAGCAAAATGACGCTTTGGATGCAACGTACGTGAAGTGTCAATTGATTGACGTATGACTGCGTCCGCGACTGGAGTGGCCTTTCACGGGTCATGTGAGAGTGTAAACTAGCAAACAATGCTTTCAATAAGTGACGAAAGACCTTTACAGGCTCAATTAACGCAAGTAACAGCGCAATCAAAATAACGCACTTAAAATAACGCATCATTGTGCAACAGGCTTGACTTCTTTTCCACATACCGTTAGAAGCCTGTCCTTCAATTTCGATCCTAAACCCATAATAGCTAGCAGAAAAGTCGCTCTGGAACACGACCGTCATCTGGTTCCCGGTCGTCATGATGACCTGATTCGGCAACAGTCCGCTGATCCTAGCGATCTGGTTATTGGAACCGGTGCCGTGTCCCTCGTAGAACGTAAGGAAGTCGTAATCCGCCTCGATGTCGAATTGACGCGTTGCGGCAAGGATGCGTTGCTCGCCCGGCGCCGTCAGGTAGACGGTGGCGTTGATGTCGTTGTCGTACAGGGCGGGGAAGTTGGCGCTGTAAAGCGTCAGGAAAGGTGACGTCACGGATTGATATTGTTGGCTGGTACCGCTAAGATCTATTGGTGAAACGGAAAAAAGTAAATGATCAATAATTACACTCAATATAGCGCTCTCACAAACCATGGACCTATTACGGATGGACATTCAACGTGATTCTTTCTTTGATCCAAAGATAGTCGCCGCCTTCTGATTATGTGCATCTTAATGAGAACATTCAGCTGTTTTAACAATAACGACTGCGTAAGCATTTTCGGTCATTGACAAAGGAGCAGTTTCCCTCGCTTGGGTTTTGTTTGGATGGAGTGCTCTGTAAGAGTGTGTCTTAAATAAAAACATCTCCAATAGAGAGCAGCAAAGTCGAAAAGCAGACGATTTTGGTGATATGAAATGTATTATTACTGATTCGCACACTTTCGCACACCCCCATGACCTTATAAAACAATTAGAAGGCCATGATGTTTATAAGCCCTGTGCGTTGTAACTCTGGAATATTATGCGGAAATTGGGGAAAACAGGATTTTAAATCACAAACAATCCAAACAAAACCTATCTGGTAATATCAACATGTTTTTCAAAATTAGAACACAGTACACGGAACAACAATTTCCAATTATTTACCAGAACTGCACATCGATTTCCCATGATTTAAGCGGTTTATTATCTTCTGCGCATGTATATTAACCTGTTTAAAATCACTATCTTGATTCTGTCCCGGCTTATTGGCGGTGACCATCATGAGATCAAAGGGAAGAAACATGTACGGAATGTTATTGAGACGACATTGACGGAGACAATCACAATGAATTCTTTAAGAAAACGATGAATGTCCATTCGTAATAGGTCCATGCACAAACTAACTGTCGGTTCAAAGCGCTTTGGATTAATTTCCTTAAGAAAGATATCTGACAAGGGATATACAAATGAATCTTAGAAGCTCTTCTCATTGTTCCATAATTCGCTTCGAGAATTTTGTTTCTTCTAATCTAAACGATCTTGAATACTGTTATGTGACAATATTATGTGGCTGCTGTAAGAAGGTCGAAAAGAAATCATAGAGTAATAAAATGATATTTCCCAACTAGTATTCCTTACCTATCCGGGCCGGGCAGCCGGGTTCAAAAGTGGGTAAAACACAATGCGGAGTGACGTCGCAAAGCCTTTCTGCCTTGATGCACAAGTGATTTCCACATAGCATATCGGAAGGTGCGCATGCTCCGAGGACCTCTGACAGAACGACAAAAAATATAAAACACACGTAAGAGGATGTGAGTTGGTCTGGTGGTACGGTTAGCTCGCTGTCTCCCCTTATAAAAAGAACCAGACTCTGACGGACCTCGGTTCGAAACTGAGTCCCGTCTTTTGTTAGGTGACATTAGGAATTTTTAGATTCGCATGAAGACAATGGGGATTGCTACGATCGACGTCCTTTTAATGCACTGCCTTGAATGGACGTCATACGTATGATCAGTCCACGCAAATCTAAAAGTCCCTATTAAACGTCATTCCCGATCTAGATCTAACTAATAACTGATTAAAACCAAATTGCACACACGATCTAAAAGTCCCTATTAAACGTCATTCCCGACGTAAATAATCATATCTAGATCTAACTAATAACTGATTAAAACCAAATTGCACACACGATGACCATCATGATATTTGTATTTTAGTCTTCAAGATATAATAAGACCAGTCATTGTGATTGTCAAATCATTAGAAAACCTGTACATTTTAAGATATAGGAAGGTAGTTTCAGATATATAGGACTCGGATAAATTATTATCATCGATAGCTCGACCGTAAAACATCAACTATCGAAATTGCAAAATTTTAACCTATTTTGAGGGATTGGAGACATTAATAATGTAACCAAAAGTTATACTGAATCTTAATTGTTTTCATTACATCCACCACTTTCAATATAGATTTGCTGTTTTCTTGTCTCCTAAATGTCTCGAAGTGCCTGGATATGTAATGTTGCACTTAGACTTACTTACACGTTTACTGTTACATTTTTGTTGGCGGAAAGCAAACTAACCATTTTGGAGCACAGATGTGATATTGGCCATGAATCCGATGGACCTAAATTTTCTGTCTGTTACCATGGTGATCCAAATGTCACCGCCTTGTGATAGAATCTCTTCCGGGACAAACCTGCCGCCGTAGAGCCGCAGAAATGGATCACTACCAATGACGTCACCATCTCCGATTATGACGTAATCATTGGCATCGTGCGTTGAGAATAATGAAAATTGAAGGCGAATCTAAGGGATAGATTTAGAAACAAAATCCAATTAACTTTATTTTCATGCGTTTCTGTTTCACCAGAAATATGATTTGTGATGGTACCCTTTTCGACATGCTTTCGGTCAGCCGCGGTCAAGGGTTAAAACTGATTGAATTGAGGAGAACCGTTTACCATGAGCCTTAAAGGCGTCTTACCATAGGACGTTGATTAAGGTTCATAAGGTTCATAAGGTTCTTCTTTATTGTCCATTTAACAATGGAAATTCATCGTGTTACATGGTATTGTGGTACACATATACTTAACATAATACACTCATACAAAATCAATGAATTTTTGAGTTGACAGTAAACAAAAATAAACAATTAACAACAAAAACAAAGATATAGTCATGCATCGAAAAGGAAGGATTACTCGAGGATTCAGGTATAAGGCTAATGCTGGAGTAATACTTATGCAATAAATCTCCTATGTCCGTAACTATCTTGCAGTAAAAATAAAAAAATAAATTTGAAGTAACTTTGATAAAAAAAAAAAACATTAAAGGTATCTAACTGCTCAGCTCACTAAAATGCATGTATGAAAAGAAATAGGGAGAGACCTAGAGAGATAGAGAGAGAGAGAGAGAGACAGAGAGAGTGGGAGATAGAGAGAGACAGAGAGAGAGATAGAGAGGGGTGTCATCTCATAGTTACACTGAACATATTTTTAAGATCGTGGTACATGACTTGTATAATCATTTGAAATGAATATTGCCCCTATTCTCATTTTTCATATTTTTGTATGCATTACCTATATCCAATCATTTTATTGGCCATGCTCACTTTGCTCAATTACCAAATATTTATTACAAAATTATAAATATTTCTTCTCGAATAAATCAGCCTTACAGATACCTTAGGTTTTATATACTGTCTTGATTAATGTTATTGTGTTTGAAAAAAGGGAGGAAAATACATTTTTAAAAATATAAAACGTACCTTGTAACCAGTTCCAGCAATGAATTTCCAGCTGTAAAGTACATTATTCGGATATTCGGCAGGATATCCGTATGACGTCAACGAATAGGGAACGTCCCCGTAAATTATGTCTATAGTTTCTTCACCAACGGCTATAAAGAGAAAAAGGCACAAGATAATGAATTTGTTATAAGGTCAAAATACAATGAGAGGTAATCAGTTGTTCCCTTTCATATCAGGTCTTGTGTCGACTCTTGATGGTATTAATAAAAACAGTAATCAAGGTGCTTTAGTGATTTTCGAACACATCTCCCGAAGATTGGCATTTCATTTAATATTACTCGTGACCTTTGATTAACTTGATTAATAACAAACTTTCAGTCCTGGTTTGTTAATCAGCATTTACGTAATAACTTGTTGTTCTGATAGAAAGAAATTTGCTCTGATTTCGTAGCACTATTTGATAGAGTAGAGAGAAAGAGAGAGAGAGAGAGAGGGAAAAAGAGAGAAAAGAGAAAGAGAGAGAGAGAGAGAGAGAGAGAGGGGGAGAGAGAGGGAGAGGGGGAGGGAATTTAAAAGAGAAAATGAGTAAAAGAGAGAAAGGGAGAGAGAGAGAGAGAGAAAAGGAGAGAAGAGAGAAAAGAATGTAGATAGACACAGAGAGAAGGGAGGTAGATAGAGAGAGAGAGAGAGAGAGAGAGAGAGAGAGAGAAAGGAATGTAAATAGAGAGAGAGAGAGAAAGGAATGTAGATATATATAGAGAGAAAGGGAGTTTTAGAGAGAAAGGGAGAGAGGGAGAGAGAAAGAGAGAGAGAGAGGGGGAGTTTTAGAGAGGAAGGGAGAGAGAGATAGATAGAGAAAAGAGAGGAGGTGAGAGACAGAGAGAGAAAGAAGAAGGAGACTTTTAGAGAGAAAGGGAGAGAGAGAGAGAGAGATAGATAGAAAAAAGAGATGAGAAGGAGGTGAGAGAAAGAGAGAGAGAGAGAGAGAGAGGCATACGGATGGTGTGGCGCATGAGAACGTATTTTGATCTAAAGAAGATGTAAACGTATTAGACTTATAAAGCTATTGGTAACATTAACTGTAGTCTTAAAAATAACTTATATTTCCCGATGTGGACTTGATTTGACCTTATCAACAAATATATTTATGGAACCTACACTGTGCTCCCCCCACCTCCTCCCCCACCCGTGATTTATGATTGTTGTATTATCACTTAGAATATATTAAGGGCAGAAGATTGAAACTTTTGTGAAATAATTTAGTCAATCCTTTGGTTTATATCTCGAGTTGAGGACACTATTTTCGCTTAAAAAGTTGATTATAGTTGCAATGCATAGACTGGAAGGGGGCTTGCTAACGCATTCTATGAAATTTGCCTTCTCAGTGTTGTAGCTACACGGGGCATATATAGGGGGAACAGCCTCCTCATGGGAAAATGGGAAATCTAACAAGTGCATGTGAGGGAGCAGGAAAGCCAGAAAGACGGGAAGGGAACTTGAAAATGAAAGAACCCCTCCCACAGCTACCCCACTAATCGGTAACCTTGTTTATCGCATTTTATCTCACGTCATCAACTAACCTCGTGAAAATGGTGTCCTCCCCCCCCCCCCCCCCCCCCCCCCCCCCCCTCCCCCATGATTCCATTTTCACCTGGCTGGAACTACGCTACGCAACTGGTTTTTCTCTAAGCATAATAATGCTACTTACGATAAGAGCAGCCCGATTCGTCTTCCCCTCCGGTGCAGTCATTAACGTTATCACACACAGTCGAGTTCGCCACACAGATCCCATCACTGCACAAGAAGCTATCGCATCCTAATATAATATGGAGGATACGAACATTATTTATAATCAAATCAAATCAAATAATTTATTTTCCACTACGAAGACGTGTATATAAATATCATTGACAACATAATATAATCATTGTAAATTATAGTTGTGGGATCATAAAAAGCACAAAACGCTTGTTGAAAATAAATCCTTAAAAGGGCTCCTGATCAAATAATATGATCGGGTGGCCTCATGAATGACATCCCCTAGGCCACTAGGCCCACCTTCTTTAATAACCTCTATGATACAATGTCAGGTTGAAAAGTAAAGCTGTATTATTGAACTTTTCTTACCATGAAGATTTCATTGAATCTTTCTTGAACAGAACACAAATTAAAAAAATCCATACTGTGGTATGTCAGAAAAAGGAAATGTGGTTATAAAATCATTAGCTGTATATGTTTCTATTTATCTACCAATACGACATTTTCTGCTTAGTATCCCGCTCCACTTTCAAACGTTTCAGTACGCTCTCAACAATGTCTAAAGAGAGCCGTTCTTTTACATATTCAGTAGAAGAATATGACAGTTTGCATATATAATACGACAACATCAAAGCTATGTCGTTTTTTCATCTGGGAAACCAAAAAGATGTTCTTAGCTTACTCTGCATACAGTTTCTCTCGTCCTCTCCGAATTCACATTGATTCTCGCCGTCACATTCTTCTTCGAATGGAATACATTTACCACTGTCACACGAAAAACAGTCTGTGATAAACAGATTATGATAAAACAGAATTAATCACATTATACTCTGTTAATCAGATTGCAAAGGGTTGATTTGTATTCGTTTACTGAAACTGGTTGATTGTCTTCCACGAATAATAATAATAATGGTGTCTTCTTATATAGCGCACATGTCCGTCACGTCATGACGCTCTTGGCGCTTCCCCGATTATTACCCCGACTTTAGCTGGCACGTAGACACGGGAAGGGGGGGGGGGCTCGGTTGAAATTTTTTAGGCCCCTTTTTTGACCTCGATCGATTACATGTATGTGCCCCCCCCCAAAAAAAAAAAAAAAAAAAAAAAAAAAAAATCTCTGGCTACGTGCCTGGACTTTAGCAATGCGGCCATTACGGCGCTCTAGCATTTCAAGGAATTAATTCCTGCCAGAATGGCAAATGCTTTCTTAGGTGACGGTCCTTTTGAGTCGATTTGGTGACTTGGGTGGAAAGAAATCAAAGTTTGTATGAGACTTACCTGTAGTTAGATTGCAATTGGGAGAAGGCAGAGGGCATGAGCAGATCTTGTCTGTCGGCATACAAACTATTCCATCACTGCAGTCGTATTGACTCTGGGCACATTGCACATCTAACAATGAAGACAAAATGGAGAATGCAGGGAAGAGGGCATTCAGAAAAAAACCCGTATGTTACGGAATATCACATATGGCGAGTGTTATAGGCAGGTTTGGTTATAAGTATACATCATCATGCATGTACATGTATACAGGGGCGTACGCAGGATTTTTTCAAGGGGGGGTTTTAAAATCTGGCCCAAAATATTTTGCTCCCGAAAATTTGAAAATCGCGCCGGCCGAAAAGTCGCTCAGTGGGGGGGGGGGGGGGGGGGGGGGGGGGGGGGGGGGGGTAAGCGGACACTTTTTTTTTGTTTTTTTTTGGGTAGTCCAAAAAAAAAATCGCAACGACTCAGCCAACCGAAAAGTCGCTCAGTGGGGGGGGAGGGGGGGGAGGGGGGGGGGAGGGGGGGGAGGGGGGGAGGGGGGGGAGGGGGGGAGGGGGGAGGGGGGGGGAGGGGGGGAGGGGGGGGGAGGGGGGGGGGGAGGGGGGGGGGAGGGGGGGAGGGGGGGAGGGGGGGAGGGGGGGGGGAGGGGGGGGGGGGGGGGGGGGGGGGGGGGGGGGGGGGGGGAGGAAGCGGACACTTTTTTTTTGGGGGGGGTATCGAAATTTGAAAATTTGACATTTTGCTCCGTTGGGGGGGGGGTAAGGTCGTCTTTTTGAGGTCGGCCATGGGAATTTTTTTTTTTTTTTTTTTTTTTTTTTTTTTTACACACACAAAAATTACCAAAGGGGGGGGTTTAACCCCCCACCCCCCCCCCCACTGTGTACGCGCCTGCATGTATATTATAGATTGTATCAACCTATAAGTTTTATTTTGTTTAAAGTCTAACAAAAGTTAGAGAGGTTGAAGATTCGGTTGAATTAAGTCATTACTCAAGCTCAAGATATTGCTCACAATGTCAACGAAATTTCATACACAACTCACATAACATTCAGGAGGAAAACTGCACCCGTGGCTATCATTCCTATTCTTTTCAGGTTTCAATACTCATCACGCAAATTAAAATTATTGATAAATACATGTTTTTTGTTGAATAATTGAGAAAAACTTGAAAATAAGTTTTATTGTAGCATATTAGTTTCAATCCATATGAACGCTCATGATATTATCACTTCCACCCCAATTCTTATGCATCTCATTTTTTCCTCCTAAATACTTATGTATTCTTCTGCCTTTTTATCACGATGTACTTCTTTGTTTTTATCAATTTTGCCACACAAGCCGTTCGTCTGGATCGATAACCAGATAAACTTCGCAATCAATCTAAATTTGGCACACTGGAACACAACATCAACCCACTATCACTCATAACCATGTAGTCGTAGCGATAGCAACATAAACAGCAGTGGCGGATCCAGGGGGGGCCCGGGGGCCTTGAGAAAAAAATCATGTAAAATCACGTGATTTTTACGATTTTTGGGGGTTGGGCCCCCCCCCCCCCTGGCGCTCAAGGGGGGGGGGTGCAAATGTGCTCACTAAATGTGCTCCCCCCCCCCCCCCCCCCCCCCCCCCCCCCCCCCCCCCCCCCCCCACTGAGCGACTTTTCGGCCGGCGCGTTTTTCAAATTTTCGGGAGCAAAAAAAAAAAAAAAGTTGGGCCCCCTCCCCTAAGAAATCCTGGATCCGCGCCTGATAAACAGATTCATCAATACGAAATATTCTGCAAGTCTCCATCTTCTCATCTTTGACCTACCATTCGCCGGCTCCTGGGTTACACTGGCATAGAAGCCCCGGACGGACACGGCGTTGTCAGACGTGAAGGTTGCGTAGAGATACGCGCTGCTTGATTGGTAGCTGATGATGCCTGAGCGAGTCATGGCACCCGAGAGCACCAGTGGATGCTGCCCCGTCGGACCATCGCCCGAGTAGAAGCTTAATAGATCCCAGTTGGGTTCCGTGTACAAATCGCTGACATCAATCCTCGGGCTGCGGAGAAAGTAGCATAAACATCGAGATATTAAGCTAGCAAGAAAATAAGCACTTTAGAAGAAAAAAAGGCTTTTGATCGATTCTTAATCGATTTCCAAAATACATTAAGTCAATTGCAAGGTGAAGCCTAGAAAAGAAGCGTGCCAGATTAATGTATTCAACACATCAAAATGACCCTAGGCCTACAATGTATATGATTGTTGACACCCTTCCCCCAAATAGCAAATCCGTTTTGAAGCATTTAGATGAAATTTCCAGCTTCTAGAGAAAAGATAACAATTCTATGTAGGCACAAATCTTGAGATATTTTAACATTATAATTAACATGAATATGATGAAAGTAACAGAAAGATTCAAAGCTTTTGCAAAAATAACACCCCTTGAATAGTAAACGTATATACGTTTTTCAAGATATGACATTTGCAGTGCTTCCCTAATCCAAGGTTTCATGAAAATGTTTTTCATCTTGTCTTAAAAACGATTTCATGATAGGTTCTGGGTCCGACATTTCCCAATATTCTGAATAAAAGTAATACACCGTTCTCGGACTCTAATCAACATGAAAATAGAGACATTTTTAAGATCTGGTATAGTGTGCAAAAAGAGAACTGGGCCCCGTTTTTATTAAGATCTGATATTAATCACAAACTTATTTGCGATTGATATCAATCGATACTACGTAAATAATAAATAGGAGACTGCAAACTTGGGATTGATTCAGATCGATCGCAACTCTTTATAAGACGGGGCCCTGGACTCCGTAACCATGGTAACGTACCTGTTTCCAGATGAAGCAATAAAGAGCCAGGACTGATTGGCATTCAGTGGATAGTTCTCGGGGTAGTTGGGACTAGATAGGTAATATGGAGCCGGTACGTCAGCCAGGTCTATCACGATCAGTTCTGAAAGAAAAAGAAATGGATTAAACAAGAAATTCGATTTGTAAGTATGTTAAGAAATGTAATAAGAACATTATTGTATGACTTGTGCAGAAATAAAATTGATGAGGAGGATAAAGGTGAAGGAGAAGTGGGGAGAGGTAGGAAGAGAAAGGAAGGATGAGAGTGGCAGATAGATATAAATGCAAAGATAATTTAATCTGACAGTTACAGACAGTTCAAAAACCCAATGTTCGGCCAACAACATACTGGACCCTAATCCTAACCCTTACCATAAATCTAGCTTGAAACTCAATCGAAACCCGCAACCTTTACCTATATCTCTGACAAAATAAACCCGGACAAAAATGTCGATGGTCAAAAAGTCAGATCATAGATATGAGAAGAGAGAGAAGAGAGAGAGAGAGAGGGGAGAGAGAGAGAGAGAGAGAGAGAGGAGAGAGAGAGAGAGATAGAGCGAGAGAGAGAGAAGAGAGAGGGAGGGAGAGAGAGAGGGAGAAAGAGAGAGAGGGGGAGGGGGAGGGTAAAACTAACGATACATGTAGCTTTTATGAAAATGAACATTTATAAGAGCATTCGTTGAGACATGAACAATAATGTCCTACTCTCATAATACTTCATGTTAACAGCGTTATGTTTCTGCAAATTTTAGGTTGGTATATTTTAGAAAATGGGAAAGCGGGAGTGTATTGGTCTAATGGTACATACACGTATAATGATACACATGCGCGTACGCAGGATATCTTTTTTCTCACATAAAGTCTTTATTCAGTTTTTCTCAAAGCGTAAAACAATTATAAGCAAATGTACAAAGTGATGGATACATATATACATTTGACAACGAAAGGTACGATGAAAAACAATATTCTAGTACATTTATTTAGATAAGTTGGACGTACCTCTATCAGTCCATCTATCAAAAAATGAAATAATTATAACGTAATTATACTTACCCGATGTACAATTTTGTTCGTCTGACTGGTCAGCACAATCTTGGATTCCATCGCATTGATACGTTGCATTGTAACACTCATGGCCCGTCGCGCACGCTAACTCATCCGGTGTACATACACCTAGAGAGAAACGTTGAAAGGAAATTATTTTAAAGGTTAAAATAGACATTAAAGGTACTATGTCCCTTTTGCAGCCAACCTCAAATTCTGTAGAACTTTGCAGGAATTATGAATATGTCATGTACAGTTTGTATGTCCTAACTGTGAAATTTAAACATTAGCAGTGTCCTAATATTCAAATTATGCAAGAAAACCCGTTTACATGCTAGACTTCATTGTCAGACACTTTTGAGTGACTGACTGGCTTTTTTCTTCTTTGGTAATGACATACATCAAATGAGCTGGAAAGGGTACATGAGCATTTGTCTACATCAATAACCCACTGCTTGTGATGGCCAAAATTAAACTGATTGAATATTTGCGCAGCATAAAACGTATGACCATTCGTTACATTGGTCTGAAAATCGAGACTATTACTTTTTGGCTCTATAGCTCCTAAGTCGATTTGACAACTAATATTCATTATTTTCCCACTTGAAGACATTTTCAAGCCCCACCTTTTCTAGGGAAGTTCTACATTAGTATTATCTTTCAAATGCTGTTGGAATTTATCATTTTCATTTTTTGGGCCTGCAAATGGGACATAGTACCTTTAAGAGAAATAAAAACACGGACCACGTAAATTTTTCCCTTACTAGTAGGTTGGACGAAGAATTGTGAGGGGAAAAATATGACTGGTAAGTGTGTTTAGTGATGGTTACTGTGATGGACGGTGCTGGTGGCGATGGTGATGATGGTGATGATGGTGACAGCGCTCAAAATACACGGGGGCGGTGGGCGATTCGCCCCCGTGAGCTACATAATCGCCCCCGTCAGGTTGCTCACGGGGGCGATTGCAAAATTAAAAATCGTCCCCGTGGAATTATAAAATAAAGATTGTCTTTTCTGTTATAACTTTAACACAATATTGAGTTTCAATTTACAAACCTTAAACCAATGAAATGGAACTTAGATTAGCGTGCAAGATGTCTCGTTCTATGAGTAGGCCTATTATTACCGATTCAGCTCGCAGTGCAGTTCCGCCGTCAGCAGTGGTTATAGGCCTACTGCGCCGTTAGTAATGGTACGTGTGCACGCTGCCGCGCCATGTCTGCTGGAGCTATGGAGGCGATCGCGCAAGGGCAGAAACATGGTCATGGAGAAGTTTTTCGTTGTGAAAGCGTAAACCCGCTGAAATCTGGTGATTTCAAATGACCAGCAAATAATGAACCTCGACCAGTAAATCAATATTAGGGACTTTTAGATTTGCACTATGAGAACGTGGACTGCAACGTGTGACCTCCTTTTAAGGCACTGCCAGTGCTTAAAAGGACGTCACATGTGACTACCAGTGCCTTAAAAGAACACGTCCACGTCCACGCAAATCTAAAAGTCCCTATTGAGAAGAAGAGGAAGACCAAGATGTCGTGGAATGATATGGTAACCTGGGCAGATCTACGGGGGAGGGGGGGGGGGGGGTTAGGGGGTTTAACCCCCTCCTCCCCCCTTCCCCGGCCCCCTTGGCCTGCCAAGTGAAAATGTGATGTGCATAGAAAAACGCCATTATGTGTCCAGATCGACCCACACAGTAAGATGTTAGTAGTTGCCAGGAAAACAATACGGGGGTTCAAAATAGCAACAACAAAAAATCGCCTCGCCGATATGCGGCTCGTGGACGATGCTTCGCATGTAAGTAGATGCCAGGAAAACATCACTTACGGGGGTCCTAAATCAGGGGCGGATCCAGCCGGCGGCAAGAGAGAGAGGGGGGGGGGGGGGGGGGGGCAAATCTGGAGAAAATATTTAGCGGCGAATCAGCCAGCCGGCGATCGGCGAATGAGCGGAGGGGGGGGGGGGGGCTGGATAAATGCACATAAGTTTAGGGGGGTCCAGATTTTGGGGAACATTTTTGCGCCGACTCAGCCGGCCGGTGAATATTAAAGTGGGGGGGGGGGGGGGATGCTGGAGAGGAGGACCACTATTTTTTTTTCAGGGGGGGGGGGGGGGGGGGAGGTGAAGCGCCATTTTAGCATGACTTTCTTTTTAACTCTTACTTTCACCTATCTCAGATAACCCTAAGTTTTTGGTTGCTGCTTTATATGTAGTTGATAATGTATGATTAAAATAAAGAGAGAGAGAGAGAGAGAACCACCATCCTTTTGCAATGGTTCAGGGTTTGTGTAATGTACATTTGAAACCATTTCTTAGCATCTCAACCCTAAAAAAATAGCGAAACTATTTTTGAGGAAAAGCATTATACTGAACTGAATAAAGAATATTAGCTTTATATTGGCTCATACTAATACTGATACCGGCTAAAGACAATGTGGTATTTGTATAGAGGTATTCCAAAATGACATTCTGATAATCAACATTTTGTTCTGGTATCATTATGTATATACGCATAATACAACTGATCTTTATGATTTCTTAACGTGACATAGCTTCTTCTCCCCCTGCAAACAAAAAAGAAAACAAGGTTATTTAATAAAAGGATCATACGACAAATAATCATTGTGATTCAAATTGTGCAAGGATTTTTTTTGAATAAGAAATGCTTTTCACCAGAATCTTCTTTGTAAAAACGGCTTTTACAAATCTCAGCCATGCAATTCTGCCACTGTGTTGTAAGATCACTTTCAGATTAGGAGAAGTGTATTCTTTAATGAGTATTTTACATTGAATGGAACGTCTCAACTCAGTAAGCATGGCTGAGATTTGTAAAAGTTGTTTTTACAAAGAAGATTCGGGTGAATAGCAGTGCTTATTCAAACAAATATTCGCATCAATTTGAATCACAATCATTATTTGTCGCTTAATCCCTTTTAATGACCTTGTTTTCTTTCTCGTTTGCAAGGGGAGAAGAAGATATGTCAAGTTAAAGACATCATAAAGATCAGTGTTGTATGCGTATATAATATACACAGGCCCCGCGGAACGTTTATCAAAGTGGGGGGGGGGGGGGGGGCTAAAGTATTTACGATCAGGTAGAGGGTAGCGAGCGTAAATTGGTGTGGGGGGGGGGGGGGCAGGGGTTTTAGGCATTTAATTACGGTCAGAGAAGCACAAATATTTTGATGCCGCATTTGTGTCACTGGCAAGTCAGGGGGCGGGCGTTTTTTATTTTATTTTTTAAGGTAAAATTTACGTTACTATCCTATTTTTTTACCGGTTTGGGAGGCTAGGGGGGGGGGGCTGGCCTGTAGAATCGGCCCGTGGATCCGCGCCTGTCCAAAATAGCACACACACAAAATCGCCTCGCCGCTACGCGGCTCAGTAAAGAAAGAATGTAAAGGTTGCTCCCAATAATGAGGAGGAAATAATGTGCAGAACGGGAAGACATCGAGAGAATGTCATCACGGGATGAAAGTCAGTAACAGCTATGTAGCTTGTAAATTTGTAAGAGGGAAAATGCTGATTAAAATGATAATGATGAAACAGCAAATAATTGAGGAGTATCATAGGTACCAATTCAATGGATATTTGTATAAAAAAGAGCCCCCGTCAGTACTAAAAGAGCCCCCGTGAGAAGGCTCACGGGGGCTCTTTTTGGGGGGGAGAAGAGCCCCCGTGGACAAAAAATTAATTTGAGCCCTGTAGGTGTTTCTGTATTATGAGAATGATGTTTAAAATACATGAAATTAGTGAAAGTTTATTGGATTTAAACCAATCTGATACTTTGTTAATTTCATAATTCAAAGTATTGTTTAACGAATTAAGGTCTTTATGGGAATATGGGATATTTGTATCATCGGTAAATAAGATAAAAGAAAGAATGGGGGATGTATTGATAATATCATTTACATAAAGAAGAAATAACAGTGGACCTAAGATGGAGCCTTGAGGAACACCGCATTGAATTAAAAGAGGATCAGAATCATAACTATTAAATGTAACATATTGTCTTCTGTTTGTTAAATAATCTTTAAACCATAAGAGTGGCTGACCCCGAATTCCGTAATGACTGAGTTTGGAGAGTAGAATAGCGTGATTGAGCATATCAAATGCTTTACTCAAGTCACAGAATATACCTATAACATGCTCTTTGTTAGCTATGGCACTTGTAATTTTGTCATAAATTTGAATTAATGCTAAGTCAGTTGAGTAATTTTTTCTGAAGCCATATTGATTTGAATTGAGTATTTTGTGTTTAGTGATAAATTTGTGTAGCCTATTATGAACGATCTTTTCTAAGACTTTGGATATACTTGGAAGTAGGGAAATTGGACGATAGTTACTAATTTCGTGAGGATCATCTTTTTTGAGAATGGGGTTGACTTTAGCTAGTTTTAATAGATCAGGGAAAACACCTTGCGATAACGAGTGATTAAATATGTGAGTTAAAGGCTTTGCAAGTGGATACATTATTTCTTTTAGGAGAGACATACTTATTTTATCAAAACCGTGCGATTTTGAGTTGTTAAGAGATTAGGTAATGTTAATAATTTCGCTAGGATTTGTCGGATTTAAAAAGAGAGACTCTTGGTTTTGATTGGAAAGATAGTCTTTAAAGTGAGCGTGAGTTCTATTAATTTTGATGGCGAGTGCAGGGCCGATATTCGTAAAAAATGAGTTAAATGAATTTGCATGAAGACTAGGATCATGTATTTTTAGTGCCATTTAATGTGATATTATCCGTGGGTGGGGGATTCGTTTTTTCCCATTACCTCTTTGATAATTTTCCAAGTTGCAGTTGTGTTTGAATTGGCCTTTTTTATTTTATTAGAAAAATGCAATCTACGGGATGTACGGATAAGTTTTGTTAATTTGTTTCGATAAATTTTATATGTGTTTAGGTTAGTGTCAGTTGGATTGTGTAAATGTAATTTGTAGAGGCGATTGCGTGTTTGTATTGATTTCAATAAACCTTTCGTTATCCAAGGATTCCTGGGTTTATTTCGCTTATTACTCATTTTGCCTAAAGGATTATTCTTTTCATAATAATATTGCAATTTGTTACTAAAATGTTTATATGCAGTATTGACATCATTTACATTATATACCTCAGCCCATCCCTCGAAAAATAAATCCTGTTTCAGCAATTCTATATTACGTTTGGATTCTTTGCGATATATAAGCTCATCAAATGATTTACGGCCAAATAGTTTGCATTCACAAGTTAAAAATACGGGTAGGTGATCCGAACACAATATTCCACCGATGGTTTTGTTGTTATGTACGTTTGAAAAAATATTGTCAATCTGAGTTGATGAATGTGGATTTATTCTGGTGGGTTTATTAATAATCGGGGGGTAAGAGGACACATTTTTTTTTTTTTTTGGTCTCGAAATTTGAAAATTTGACATTTTGCTCCGTGGGGGGGGGGGGGGGGTAAGGTCAGCTTTTAAAGGTCAACCATGGGATTTTTTTTTTTTTTTTTTTTTTTTTTTTTAATAAAAAAAAAAAAAAAAAAAAAAAAAAAGGGGGGGGGGGGGGTTTAGAGAAATTTAGGGGGGTTTACACACAAAAAATTATCGAAGGGGAGGGGGGTGTACGCGCCTGAGCAGGGAAGGGATGTTCCTTTGTCTACCTGAGGAACTGTATATTTTATGCGCACGCGGCTTACTAGTACCTTGAGCATGTAAAGGCGCTACTTAAATATCAACATGTATGTATGTACTGTATGTACTAGATTTAGAAAAATCAAGGTTGACGCATTCTCGATCGCCGACTGAGACGACGTAACGCATGCGCAGTGCCTTAAAATGACGTCACACGTTGCAGTCAAAGCTGTCGACGTGCAAATCTAAAAGTCCCTACTAAATGCTTAGGAGCAACAGAGCGGAGCCCATACCGCCCGAGTAAAGGGTGTATTTTTGACACGCAAAATAGAGGGGCTGGGAAGAATCAAAATGCTTGATAACAATAATGACAAATCGGAGTACGATTATTAAATGGCAAAGAGGGATTTGACATTCCCGCTCATCAAAACTAGTTCAGTCTATAACAATGGATTCTGTGATTGACACAGGAGTTTTGCAAAACAAAGAGATTTGTTGTCCGGAGGAGAAAAATGTATGCACGTTAAAACAAACTCTGAGATGATGATTAATAGCAATAACGTCATTTCGGAGTACATTAATAATAAATGGCAAAGAGGGTTTTGACATTCCCGCTCAAAAAAAAAAAAAAAAAAAAGTTCAGTCAATTACAATATAACAGACAGACTCAAATTTTTGGAATGCTATACAGATAATAATTATTGATAAAGAGTGAGGAGTTCGGTTTTAATAATCCCAGTAATCAAGATCAAAGGTTAATAAAAACTTGTCTCCAGCTTCCAGCCCAGTGGAGGGTAAGCTATATACATTCCTGCATGATACAAAATGGAGCTGCATGACACCCGAATGTATACAATCGTGACAATTTAGCATTAGTGAACAAGTACAATTCCTTCAAGAGTCAAATGTTTTACGTATTTGGGCGATCAAATTTTCCATTATTATTGATCACAAAACAATAAAACACACCAAAACATAAATGCAGATTCGAAATGAAAGTAAGGCTGCTCAAACAATGGACCCATCGCTCTATGCGTCGAGTATGTTCGTGATAGAGCGCCACAGCGGGCCGATGTGAAGATCAAAGGTTAATACAAATTTGTCTACGACCCCCAGGCCAGTGGAGGGTAAGCTATACATTCGTGCATGATACAAAATGGAGCTGCATGACCCCCGAAAGGTCATGACAATTTGAGATTAGTGACAACAATACAATTCTCTCAAGATTCAAATGCTTTACACATTTAATGCGGTTTTGAAAAGAAAGTTAGGCTGGTCAAACAATGGACCCATCGCACCCATGCGTCGAGTATTTCTGAGATAGAGCGCCACTGCGGACCAATATGAAGATCGGTCAGCCGTGGCGCGGAGAAGCCACACCCAAACATTAGACACATGTGAACGATAAGCCCATGTATTTGTTACAGTTTAATAAGCCCATCATATACGAATCGCGTGACTGACACGGGTATTTTGCAAATCAAAGAGATTCGTTGTGCAGATGAGAAATATTCATGCATGCTAAAGCAGACTATGACATAATGTTTGATAGCATGATAATTCGGAGTACAATTATTAAGTGGCAAGGAGGGTTTTGACATGAATTCCCGGTCATCAAAACAAGTTCAGTCAACCACAATAAACAGATGGACCCAAAACAGTTGAACGCTATACAGATAATTATTGATAAAGGGTGAGGAATTCGTTCTTGACAATCCCAGTAATCAAGATCAAAGGTTAATACAAATTTGTCTACGACCCCTAGGCCAGTGGAGGGTAAGCTATACATTCCTGCATGATACAAAATGGAGCTGCATGACCCCGAAAGGTCATGACAATTTGAGATTAGTGACAACAATACAATTCTCTCAAGATTCAAATGCTTTACACATTTAATGCGGTTTTGAAAAGAAAGTTAGGCTGGTCAAACAATGGACCCATCGCACCCATGCGTCGCGTATTTCTGAGATAGAGCACCACAGCGGACCAATATGAAGATCGGTCAGCCGTGGCGCGGAGAAGCCACGCCCTGTTCCTACTTTAGACACACGTAAACGATAAGTCCATATATTTGTTACAGTAAGTTTAATAAGCCCATCATACACGAATGGTGTGACTGACACAGGTGTTTTGCAAAACTAAGAGATTCGTTGTGCAGACGAAAAATATTCGTGCATGCTACAGCAGACCATGACATAATGCTTGATAGCAATGACAATTCGGAGTACAATTATTAAGTGGCAAAGAGGGTTTTAACATGAATTCCCGGTCATCAAAACAAGTTCAGTCAACTACAATAAAACAGATGGACCCAAAACAATTGAATGCTATACAGATAATAATTATTGACCAAGAGTTAGGAGTTCGTTCTTGACAAACCCAGTAATCAAGATCAAACGTTAATAAAAAACTTGTCTCCAGCCCCCAGCCCAGTGGAGGGTATGCAATAAATTCCTGTATGATAAAACAAAATGTTACTGTATGACTCCTGAAAGGTATACAATCATGACAATTTAGTATTCGTGACAACGTAAAATTCTTCCAGGATTCGACTGCTTTACGTATTTGGACAATCGAATTTTCCAGTATTATTGGTCACAAAAAAGTAAAACACGCACACAAAAAACATTTATCTTTTTTTTTTTTTTTTTTTTTTTGAAGGTTAGGCTGCTCAATTAATGATCCCGTCGCTCTATGCGTCAATTATCTTTGTGATAGGGCGCCACAGCGGACCGATGTGAGGATCGGTCAGCCGTGGCGCGGAAAAGCCGCGCCCTGTTCCAACGTAACACGCACTTGAACGACAAGCCCAAATATTTGATACAGTTAATAAGCGTTTCATACAAATATAGGCTTTGTGATTGATACAGGTGACCCTGCAAAACAAAGATTTTCCTCAAACCTTTCGGTCGGCATGCAAATAGTTTAACCGTAATTGGGTGACATTAATGGTCTAGTATGCAATAATTCCTATGGTCGGTTACCCGTTCAGATACATGTATTTAAGTCCAAGGGTTTATATATTGCTTTAACGACTATATTCAAGGTTAATGTTGCTGAAAATGGAACAATCTAACGTGGAAATATGCTATAAAAGAGAGGGGTTAACACGAATCAAAATCCTGTTACAAAAAGCTTCCGTAATTCAAAGCAAGATGTACTTTGACACAAATACTTGCCCATAACCCAACGGGGGTGGGGTGGGGAGGGGTTGGAAAATATGTAACTTCTAACCTGCGAATTAAGTGACGTCCAAGGGTCCATGGTTAGATGGTAGCTTTATCGGCCATGTACGACTCTACGGTCTATAGGGTGGTCTATACCCCGTGAGAAAAAAGGTGGGCGGGGCAAAATATACAGAGCTACATGTACATTCTTGGTTATAAATATATCCTGCGGTGGACTGCGAATTGAATGATGTTTATAATCAGGTTTTACCTTTGGAAATTGCAGTAATAATATAATGTAATACCTCCAACATTTGGTAAAGAGTTTGGAGTTGGCAAATGCTTGGGTTTAAACTTTCCATTCATCAAGTACAGCGATGGAAAATACATGCCTCCAACCTAACGGGTGTACTTTTCGTTGATCTCTAGGGTTTTAACAACATTTTTTTCCTTCTTTCTTTTTCCCCTTTTTTTCTTCACACGTTACATGAAATGGCTTCCTGTAAATATATCGACCAAGTTCATGGTTTTTGTTACAAAAAATATGAAAAAAGGAAGCACTTTAGTTTTATCTTAGAGCATAAGCAAAAATCAGAGTCCTGAATACAAAATTGCTTCAGAAATTCAAAATTAAAAAAAAAGATTTACTTTTCATGTATTATTGTTATTTCTAAGCAAGGCATTTGAAACTCGATGCAAGCAATGTACAGTGATATTAAAGTGACATAGAATATAATTATAAGTATGATTTCATAAACTTCTCGTTTACTTTACTCACTTATATCACTTTTCGTTTTTCGGACCTCAAATTAAAAGATGAATAATTGTTTGTGTCACCTAAAATGATGATGGATTTGCTCATTCTCTGTAGGGTTTCCATGTAATTGTTCTCTTTTCTTTCCACTGGAGGACGATTTCAGCACCTTGCAACTTTATTCTCGTAGATTGGTTTTTCTCCTTTCGCAACTTTTATCCAATTTCAGCAAGATGGCCGCGATGAGCCTTCAGGGTGGGAGGGAGGTCCGTCCTGACCGTTATGCGAGGGGGAGGCGGTGGTGCATGTCGCATTTCCGTTGCGTTTCCTAGTTGCTGCGATGCTTCTCAAAAGAAGAAAGAATGAGATCTCTGTCTGGCATCTTGACGAATTTAGCGATTATCGGAGCGGGTCGGGAACGGACTGGGGCACCGGCGTCTGGGGTCCTTGGTTGGTTGCGATAGGGTAATCTGTGGGCGTTGATCATTTGGATCTGTTTGGCGGTTTCCTCATCTATTCCAAGATGGATGAAAACTTTACAAAGCGTGCGATAGATATCCTCGTTTGGTTCGCTTTCAACCCCGTAGAATAGTAGATTTGGCTTTCTGTTGTAGATTTCCATCAGAAGCAGTTTTTCTTTTAGATTAGATATCTCCTCTCGAAGGGGCGCGATGCTAGCTGGTATGGAATTTTCTACTTCAGATATTTTGGCAGAGTTAAACTCCACTGATTCCACATCTGTTAGGCGACGATGAAATGATTGTAGCTCGGTATTGATATTATCAAGTTTAGATAATATTTTATCTGAAAAGTCTGCAATGTCTCGTTGTAAAACCGCATTAGAGGGATCCGGGGTGGTAGGCGAACGAACTTTGTCAGTCGGGGGAGCTTATGGGGCCGGCTGCTTACTTGCAGTTTGTCGGGTAGTGGCCCTCGGGCCATGGGATGCCATAATTTGCGTTGTGTAACGTGTAATCTAATGGGTGGCAGGAGCTCCGCTCAAACCGTCCGTTCAGCTCGAAGTCATGTGGCCAAGTCCGCTTAGCGTAATATCCAGTCTACAGGATCACACAGTTCATGCATGGCTAATTGTCAACGAAACGGAGTTGAGTATTTTGTAGATTTCTGCTTGTTGCTACGACAGGCAGCCAGTGAAAACGAAATCGTTAAATAAAATAATGGAAATGCAAGCACTACTTAAAACAAACATAACTTTGTTATTCCTAGCTCATTTTTCCTGATTGAGGTGTCATATGAAAGAGCAGAAACTCAACTTTTGAGAAATGTGATTTTCTCTTTGAAATTCAGATACCGTCCGCCAAATGTCTTTTTGGTTTCCTCTCTTCATATTCATTTGAATCACTCATGCGTGAAATATACATTATATGAGTTGCATCAAAGGAAAGAGGAGGATCTAAGCTTTACAAATATGTATCATTTATCAATTATAATTGTGATTAAGTTATGATAAAACATCGATAATTCTCGGTTTCGTTTTGGGGGGACGCACTGTATACATTGTGTTTCATATTGTATTGTCGAGAAGTAAATAAACGTTAATAAATACAATAACACCAAAATAAAAAGCCTAAACTGTGTAGCATATTGACAATTATGGATCTATAGAAGATAGATTGAGATAATATGACCATTAACCACGTACAATGAGCAGCTACACCTTCGTCTCTAAATGACTTAATGAAAAATGCATTTTCACAATTTCATCTTATTCCATAAAATGCTTTACCCGTTATGTTCTACCTATACTATAAGTTGCTGCGAAGAAATTCAATTAATTTATTTTGGACCATTACAAAAAATGGGTTATTAATGTAGACAAATGCTCATCCTCCTTATACAGCTGATTTTATGTATATTATTACCAGAGAAAAGAAGAAGTCAGTCAGTCACTCAAGAGTGTCTGACAGTAAAATCTACAAAGTAGTCTCAGCTATAACATACAAGAATCTGGGAGAGAATAGAGCACAAATGAGCGAGATAGTGCTGAAAGATGGATGTCATGTAGACTCATAGTGAACGAAATTCACCCTCCATAGACATAACACGCAAATTAAGAAAATTCTGACATGTGACCTTGAATTGAATTTTGTACTATGATGACATAATTTAAATGAAAATTGGTGCAAACTGATCTTGTAGACGATTGCCTCGACTACAACATATCAAAATTTAGAATAAAATCGATGAGTATTGAGATAAATACACTCAATTTTCCATAAATATAATGACGTCATAATATGCAATTTTGTATTACGACTTCCAAGGACATTATGATGACGTCAAGATGTACTTAATGACCAAATGAGATATGAAATCATACCTCCGACTCATATTCTATCTAAATATGAACAAAAAATTGGCAGTCCTTATTCATCCCAATGGGCGTTTTATAGGCATGTTTTTGCCCATATATGCTATGTATTGCAAAAATCACGCGTACGGACTGTTATCATGAACGGACGCTCATTCTGTTATTAATAGTGATGAAGAGATCAACATGGTATCAAATTGTTCTGAAAAATAGGAGGAATATTCTGTCAAAAGTTTTTGCGGAGGAATTATTTTTCGTTCGGCCGTGACAAACGAAAACGTGCAAAAATGCGTGTTTTGTGCGATTTTTTATGAAATGCTTATAATTGCCTGAAACGTATGCAACAAAAATTTAAGAAGATTTTGAGCAATTTAAAATTTTACGCGCGCGTTTACGCGCGCACAATTGCGTATGCGCATTTTTGCGCGCATTTATTGACCTGAATTGACCGGACGGATAATACTCTTAATCATGATGAATATGAATGAGAAATTCCTTTCCGTTAGGAAGATATGATAATAAGTTGATTTTTACAAAATGGCGCCTGAATGACGTCACGATGACCTTGAGTCACCGAAAAGTCACGCAGTTCTAAGTAAGGGTAATATCTATCCTCATTGCAAGATTCATGATAATGGCTTTATTCATTCTTGAGATATCCTGCGAATAAATTCGCGGAAGAATAATAATAAATAAACTAGACTTTAATTCGTCACTTTGACGAATTAGGTGATACGTATGCTCATGTGTAACATAATAAAGAACGCATTTTCACGATTTCATCTTTCATTTACTACTCCCATTATGGTCTATCCATGAGTCAAGTTTCAACTGTAGGGCAGAGGGAGACAGACCAAGAAAATAAGAGGGAGGCAAGGCAAGAGAGAGAGAGAGAGGGAGCGGGTGAAAGAGAAGAGAGAGAGATAGATGCAGAGACAGACCAAAAAAGGAGAGGGGCAGAACATGAGAGGAGAAGTAAAAGAGCAAGAGAGAGGAGAGAGAGATGCAATTGAGAACAATGCCTTCCAGATGACCATGATTGAAAGTGGTATAGCGCCCCCTTCAGATATCCGATTGAGGATTGTTATATATGATAATTGACAAGTCACCTATGATTAAATTTTTAACTATGATAACGTCATGATAATGTTAGATAGTCTACATAAATCTTGTGGAAACTTGTCTCAGCTACAACATACTTAATAATCAACAAAATCCAAGCAGAAATATCGACGATGTTGCTCAAAACATAGGAATGTAGAATCCAGATTTGAGAAAAGTCATCTCCCATAGGGATTACACGCAAAAAGTAATGGATTAAGTGAAAATAGGGTAATAATAAAGTAAATAGGGTTGTTTTATACATTATTTGCGAATCTACATGTTTTAATAATCAAAGGAGATGGTACAGTGAAAGGTCAAATAGAAGAAAAAAAAGTGGGAAAAAAAATTGTTGGAGACACCCGGACTCGAACCAGGGATCTCGAGGTTGGAAGTCAAGTGCGTTACCGATATACCAAAACATTTCCCATAGAAATTACACGTAAACGGGAAATCGAATGCTCAAATCCTACTTTGGAAGTGCAATATGAGCATAATTCCGGCATCTGATCGAAAAATAATTTTTTTTTGTGATAGCTTATAGTCTCAGCTACAACATACTCGAAGCTCAGCGAAAACAAAGTTAAAACAATGGAGATTTTGTTCGCGAAAGACAGGAATGTAGAATCCAGTTTTGAGAAAAAGTCATGTCCCATAGAGAAAACACGCAAAATGTGAAAAATTGACATGCCTCCTTTATTCGCAAAAATACGCCATAATGTCTTTGTCAAAATGATAAATAATAGTGACTACATTTGTAGAAAATTGTCTCAGCTATAACATATCAAAATTTTGAAGAAAATCGATCAATATTTACAGAAAGACAATCAATTTTCCGTAAATATGCTGACGTCATAATATGCAAATTGAAATTTTGAGTTTGGAGGCCATTATGATGACGTCATGAGTTAATTGAGGGTCAAATGAGACATTAAATCATATCTCCAATTCATACTCTATTTAAATATTTAAAAAAATTGGGGTCACCTTGCATCCTAAAGAGCTACAATGGATTTTGTATAGGCATGTTTTTGCCCATATATGCTATGTATTACAAGAGCTCGCGCGCACGGAAATTTATGTTAAACGGTCGATCATTCCGTTATTAATAGTCATAAAGAGAAAAACATGGTATCAATTTGTTTGTTAAAATACGTGGAATATTATGAAAGAAAAAAAAATGGCGATTGTATGTTGTGTAAAAGTCTTACGCACGAAAACCCGCGCGCATGCGCGTGTGCGCGATTTTTTATAAAATGCTTAGAATGGCCTAAAACGTATGTGAAATGATTTTGAGACGATTTTGAGCATTTTAAAATTTTGCGCGCGCATTGACGCGCGGACGTACGCGCATGCGCAAGTTATTTGACCTGAAATTGACCGGACGGGTTTTGACCTTAATCATGATAAATATGAATCAAAAATGGCTTTTGGTTTTGAAGATATGATCATGAGTTGTTTTTCAGAAAAATTTACAAAATTGCGCCTACATGACGTCATCAGTGAAGGTCATAGTTGAAAACGTTATTGTGCTTTGTACATATGCCTATACATATGTGTGCCAAATTTGAAGGCATTTGATGCAGCCTTTTTTAAGTTATCGTGCGTACAAACAAGTGGTTAGAAATAAGCAAAATAAATAAATAAACTAGATTTGTAATACTTGTTTGGAACAAGTATAGGTGGGCTGATCCAACAAAAAAATTGAGACAAAATAAATGGCACATTTGGATAGCTAATTGTCCCAGCTACAACATACTCCAAGTTTAGCGTAAACGAAGCTAAAACGACGTAGATATTATGACGGGAATGTAGAATCGAGTTTTGAGAAAAAGTCATGTCCCATAGAGAATATACGCAAAATGTGAAAAATCGACATGCCTCTTTTAATCGCAAAAATACGCCAAGATACCTTTGTCAAAATGAAGATTAATATTAACTGCATTTGGAAAAAATTGTCTCAGCTAGAACATATTAACATTTGGAAGAAAATCGATCAATATTTACAGAGATACAATCAATTTTCCATAAATACGGTGACGTCATAATATGCAAATTGGAATTTTCAGTTCGGAGGCCATTATGATGAGGTCATGAGTTAATTGAGGGTCAAATGAGACATGCAAAAATATCTCCGAATCATACTTTATCGAAATATAAAAAAAACTGGGGTCACCTTGCATCCTAAAGAGCTACAATGGATTTTGTATAGGCATGTTTTTGCCCATATATGCTACGTATTACAAGAGCTCGCGCGCACGGAAATCTTAGTTAAACGGTCGATCATTCCGTTATTAATAGTCATAAAGAGACAAACATGGTATCAATTTGTTTGTAAAAATATGTGGAATATTATGTAAGAAAAAAAAATGGCGATTCTATGTTCTGCAAAAGTGTTACGCGCGAAAACGCGCACGCATGTGCGTGTGCGCGGTTTTTTATAAAATGCTTAGAAAGGCCTAAAACGTAGCAAAATGATTTTGAGACCATTTTTTAGCATTTCAAAATTTCGCGCGCGCACTGACGCGCGCGTTTTTTGACCTGAAATTGACCGGACGGATATTGATCTT